GCAGATGGGGTTTAATCTGGGTAAGTGTGAGGTGCTGCACTTTGGGAAATCAAATATTAAGGAAAAATATACAGTTAATGGCAGGATCCTGAACAGCATTGATGTACAGAGGGAACTTGGGGTTCAAGTCCATAGCTCCCCAAAAATGGCTACGCAAGTAGATAAGGTGGTAAAGAAAGCGTATGGCATGTTTGTTTTTATTGGCCGGGGAACCGAGTATAAGAGTCAGGATGTCATGTTGCAGCTTTATAAGACTTTGGTTAGGCCGCACTTAGAGTATTGTGTTCAATTCTGGTCACCACATTACAGGAAGGATGTGGAAGCTTTGGAGAGGGTGCAGAAGGGGTTTACCAGGATGCCGCCTGGATTAGAGGGCATGAGCTATAAGGAGAATCTAGGTGGCCATTGAGGGGAGACTCGAAAGAAGTTTATAAAAGTATGAGATGCATACATAGGGTTGACAGTCAGAACCCTTTTCTCCCCCCCGAGAGTTGAAGTGACTACTACTAGGGGGGCATGTATTTAAGGTGAGAGGGGGAAGTTCAAAGGAGACGGGAGGGAAAAAGTTATTTTACAGAGAGAGTGGTAGGAGTCTGGAACACGCTGCCAGGGGGTGGTGGGGGCAGATACAATAGGGGTGTTTAAGGGGTTGTTAGAAGCACATGAATACACAAGGGACGCAGGGCTATGGACCAAGGCCAGGCAGAAGGGATTATTTTAATCTGGCGTCATGGTCAGCACAACATTGCAAGCTGAATGGCCCGTTCCTGTTTGTAGCGTGCTAACATATTTTGAGTAGATCAATCAGAAGATAAACAGATGTCGCGATCTAGCTCGTTGTTTCTGTGAAGCTGGGCCTAAAAAAGCAGGTGAATTGGAGAGCACATACTTATTCTAGAATCTTTAGCATGGGGTTTGATTTCAAATGCGCTCGTGTGGGCAGGTGAGACTTAAAACGTCAACATTACATGCCCTCAGACGGTCCCAGCCCGGCCTCTGGCCTGGTCACCAGGCAGGAGGGTACGGACTCTGTTGAAATTGAACACAAAACCCGACAGGAAAGTGCGAGGAGCGTTTATTAGACAAACTTCTCCCCACACACCACTCCACTGTGGCTCTTCGGCCCGGTTTTCAGGCCTAGATTCTGTATGTTGCAAATGACCAGCTCCCAGCACAAGAGGGGGACAAAAAAAAAAGGAAGTCATACACATTTCTGTTGGTTCTAAACCCAAAGTATCAGTTCTTAAAATATAAAGAGAGCGCTGGGCGGGCTTGAGGCTGGTTCCGATGTGAAACTTGCAATTCTGGCTCCTTTTGATCCCCGTTTGCACAAGTGGAGACCTTTAATTTGGGAAAGCTGACAGGGGGAAGAGACAGTTCATCCAGTACGACCCCATTGCCAGAACACCACCCCCACCATCGATGTTGCACTCCCTCCATTTGGCCCGTCTAGTCGGTGACAGCGCTTTAGATGACATCATTTGGGTAATCCCACCGCCTTTGCCATCTAATCCCTTCTCGAGCGATTCCCTTTTTTTGAAGATGCCTGCTTGCACTGCCGTCTCACCAGCAGCACGTTTGGGATCACACTGCATCAAAACATTCCACCCCAACCCCATCTCTCCCACCGGCCTTCATTACCTTCAAACCGTACCCTGCTCTGGCTCCCAATCCTCCTGCCACTCCATTCCCCCTCACTGACTCTTTCAAAACCCCTCCCTGGTTTTGTTTGAATCAATCCAACGCTCCCTATAACGTTCTCTGCTCGGAGACCACAGAAGCCCTGTCCCTACAATTTTCCCCACATCATCTGATTCATGTAGTGGCTTTCAAATCACTTCACAGGACCAGGGCTGGACCAGCTTTTACTGAGTTACGTCCCTGATGCCAGAAACAGGAGACCAAAAACTCAATGAGAAAGCAGGGAGACAGAGACAGAGAGACAGACAAAGAAAGAAATAGAGATAGGGAGGGCGTTACAGAGATAGGAGGTGGTGTAGGGGCTGGACGAGGTTGCAGTGATAGGGAAGTCTGTACAGGCGACAAAATAAGGAAAAACCATTTTAAATTGAGACGTTGCGAATGGGGAGCTGATATCGGTCAGAGACGGTATGGGCAGTGAAGTTTCCGCCAACTAAGAAGGTTATCTCACCTATATTTCCTGTGCCCAGCACCATTCCTGTTAAAGCCACTGTTTATCTGTCTTAAGGTTTATCAGATCAACCCCACGCACAATGACAACACTTTAAATCAACTGAGCGGAGAGGGACAGGAACAAGTGAGGAGAGGGCAGGTGGGGGGTGAACAGAGACACAGACACAGAGAGAGACACAGACACAGAGAGAGAGAGA